GATCGTTTTGTTTCCCTGCTGTGCCCGCAGGTTCGGCGATCGCGGCTCCCAGTGGCCGTGGTTCGCTGCTCCAGGCCAATGGGAGCTGCTGGAAGTGGCACGGGCCGAGGGACGTACTGGCCGCCGCTTCCAGCAGCTCCCATTGGCCTGGAGCAGCGAACCGCGGCCAGTGAGAGCCACAATCGGCCAAACCTGCGGACGCGGCAGGTAAACAAAGTGGCCCGGCCCACCAGGGGCTTTCCCTGCACAAGCGGCGGAACAAGTTTGGGAACCACTGGGGTAGAAAGTAAGAAACACTCTGGGTCACCTTTTGGGAAGTGGGACAGGAAGTTCCAAGAGGTAGTTGAGGAAATTAAAACAGTTGAGGCCTGCCCTGGGTGTGGAGTGATTGTGGCTATTGTCTTATGTCTCCAGTAGAGCCTGAGTTCTGTTCAAATGGATTTGACTGAGACTCACAGTTCTGTGGTTGATCCTACACAAGGAATGGAGAAGGGCAGAACCCATGAACTCCTCTTGAGGTACTGAAGAATTGGTGCTGTAAATGGAGCAGTGAAGTGAAGTAATGAGGTGCCTGCTGATAGAAGAGGATTTAAGGCCTCATTGGGGAGAAGAGTCTGTGATGGCTGCTGCATCTGAGAGGAAGACAGATCCTGGGAGAAGGCCTGAGACAGCTGTAGCAGGTTTGAAAATCCACTGTTCAGAATTAATAGATTTGGTGGGGCAGGGGAGAAAATGATTTGCAAAACAAGCAAGAAGTATGCATAGGAGAGATATTTAGATTGTAAGGTCTGTGGAAAGCAGGGACTGTTTTTTTGTTCTGCCTAGCACAATGGGTTCCTGGTCTACTATTGGAGCTCCTAGATGCCATCACAATACAAATAATAAATAAATAACAATTCCAAGGATGTGTGAGTGTCCATGTGTGGGTGGGTGAATAGAAGGTCTGGCTGTGTGAGAAGGTGTTCAGGGATGACACAGAGAAAGTGTGTGAAGGAATTCTGTGGAATGGGCAGTAGTGGATTTGTGCATATTGGTGTATAAACCATATGTATGGTATACAGTAATAGTTGTCTAGTAGATATTTCTAGGAAATTTTGCAAGAGTGATGGAGTCATGCTCTCACGTCTGACTTTTCGTGATTATCTATATGGCCATTCAAATAATTTTGCCTGGCTATCTGACACGGCTAAGCATTAGGTGTGAAGTACAAATGCTTATGTCCCTGTGTAATGGTTTGAATGCATAGGTTACCATTTCATCGAGCCTCTGAGCCGGATGAGTTGAGTTCATGCAGTTTACTGTGAGGGGGTAAGGGAAGGACGTGATGGTGGAATCTTTGAGGCAATAGCTTAAAAAAAAAAGTCCAGTCTTCTCTGCATATTAAATTCCCCATAGTACTTTTTATAAGTTGGGGTTTGTTCACTGTCCTTGATCACACATTTCTCTATTCTTAATGTTTTGCAGTGTATTTTGTGCCACTTTACTGCTCCTCTTCATCCCAGAAGCAGTTGCATTTCCATGCTGATGCATAAGTATTGTTTTTAAAGCACTTCAGCTGCCTTTCAGATAAAAGAGTTCATATAAATATAAAATATTAATGAATATTAACAAATATATTATCTTTAGGTAAGTTTAAAATTAATATTTACACATGATGATCATCCTTTAACAGGACCATCCAATATTTCAGTATTGTACTATTCCAGTTCAGTGCATTGCAGAGGATCTCTACTGCATATGTATTGACTGGCTTCCCTCTGTCATATTGTTTAGCAACAGCAAACAGCTTTCTGCCAGAGTGATGATACTGCATATAACTTGATCATTTTACCACTTGTCCAGTGTCATAAACTCTGTACCAGTAAAGGATACTTATGGGATATTCTTTATGGAAGTTGGCTTCTCTAGCACTGTGGCTTGTTTGTACCTAAATTATCAGAAGTTTGGCAGGCCAAAAAAAGGTGGTAGTGTGATTCTCCTTCTTACATTATGATGGATATTCTGACTGTTGCAGGCAGAGGCACGCTGGTGGTGAATGGGTATACAAAGGGCTAGGAGCCAAGAGCTGGTGGCTGGATATATTTTGCTTAAGTAGTATTTAAGGAGAGCATGTTGATAAGGTATGGAACTACAAGAGAAATCATGAAACCCCTGGGGACAAGTAATGTTAAAGGTTTTCAGACCATGGGATAACAGAACATCCTACCTGTCATTGGGGCACTGTCTATTTATGTGTACTATGTTTTTATTTTATTTTATGATTTACATTTTCGTTATTTAGAGTGATTAAATTTATTTGACAGTCTAAATTTTCAAAGGTTGCATAGGGATGTAGTCATCCACCTTCAATTAAATGGTCTGATCCTACAATCCCTGCCCATGGAACACTCACTCCCATTGTAAGGAATGGAAGTTTACCCTGGACAGTGACTGCAGGATGAAGCCACAAATCAATGTGACTCTTAAGTCCCTGTGCAATCTTTTGAATGTATACCCACCATTTCTGGCTAAGCCATATGCCATTCCATTTATAGTAATAAAAACATCCTCTGAAATAAGCCAAACACTTTTTTTTCCTAAAGGAAGAATTATTGCTTATTATTTTATAGAGAATGGGTAAAGGGAGACACCAAACATACAGACAGAAGAATAAGACAGAAGAATAATTCAGAAGGAAGGAATGGTCCTACTTTCCTGCAGGAAACCAGGTAAAGTGCCAGGCTCTGTCATAGAATCATAGAAGATTAGGGTTGGAAGAGACCTCAGGAAGTCATCTAGTCCAACCCCCTGCACAAAGCAGGACCAACCCCAACTAAATCATTCCAGCCAGGGCTTTGTCAAGCCAAGCCTTAAAAACCTCTAAGGATGGAGATTCCACCCCCTCCCTAGGTAACCCATTTCAGTGCTTCACCTCACTCTTAGTGAAATAAGTTTTCCTAATATCCAACCGAGACCTCCCCCACTGCAACTTGAGACCATTGCTCCTTGTTCTGTCATCTGCCACCACTGAGAACAGCCTAGTTCCATCCTCTTTGGAACCCCTCTTCAGGTAGTTGAAGGCTGCTATCAAATCCCCCCCCCCCCACTCTTCTCTTCTGCAGACTAAATAAGCCCAGTTCCCTCAGCCTCTCCTCATAAGTCATGT